TGGGACATCTAGGACTCACAGCCCTGTCCTGCAGGTGACACGGTGACTCCACCTGTGCTCCTGGGACATCTAGGACTCACAGCCCTGTCCTGCAGTACTGATTTTCCTGTGGTCTCCTGGTCTGCGGAGACAGGACTTCAGAACTAACTCACAGGCTCAGCCTCCGTGACGCTCTGAATGGTTCTCGTCTGTGACCTCTGAGGACACTCTACACATACAAAGGAAGCTCAGTCACTTAGCACCTCTCTCTGCTCACGCCACGTCACTCTGTGGCCTCTTCTCTTAGTTTCTCTGTCTCAACCACAGGATTCTCTTCTCAAAGTAGGTATCTTACTCCACAAAATCCCAAGGCTGAAGACCAGGTCCCGCTCAGAAAGAAGTGAGTTCAGTCAGAGTCCCTGGCCACCCATGTCCATCAATGGTGCCCAACCAGCCCACACAGCCCTGGACCCTCTCACCTGCCGGAAGATGTAGCTGGCCAGGGGCTCATCCAGGCTAGGGTGACAGTCAATGAAAGCAAAGAGGTCCAGGCCAGAGCCATGCTTCTCCATCACCAGCTGGAAGAAGCCCTGGTTTTCAAACACGTCCAGCACCTGGGAAAGGCAAGGCCAAGGGAAGCTCTGCTGACGTCAACCACCAGATGAAGGGTGTTCTACAGGAGCCACGCCAGGGCTCCGTCCTTCACCTTGATGATGTTGGCATGCTCCACTCTGGAGAGAATCGCGATCTCCAGAGTGACTTTTCCAAGTTTGGGGTCCTCCACCCAACAGTCTTCCAAAATCTTCTCCTTCTTAATGAACTTCACCACCACCTGTGGAAACAGTGAGGACGTAATGGACAGTCCTCTGGTGTCCCATTCCACATGAGGTCCACTACCAGCCCCTGGCCACAGCAGAGCGGCAGTGTTCTCCTCCCCCAAGCAAACACCAGCCCCGCAGCAGGAAGAAGCAGGCAGTCAGCAGCTGAGCAGAGGGGGGGAGTCCCTGCCTGTCCTTCTCCCGCATGGACTGGAGTGGAGGGGCCCAGGAAGCAGGGCCTGAGAAAAGAAGCCGTGGAGGCCTCGGGGTGGTGTGGCCCAGAGCACCCACGCAGCCTCATCCTCCTTCAAGTTCTGTGTCCTAACCAGGAGAACAAAATAACAAGCCCAGGGAGAAGAGAAAATAAAGGACCATCCATCCTGAGACACATTTCAACACTGACTCTGAGGCCAGCCAGCAAGTCCACAAACTGGACGGACAGAGCAGAGCACACCGGACCTTCACAAAGTGAGGCCCGTGCCGGAACATAACACAAAGCGTGTTCTCAGACTGTGGGTACACGAAGCTAGAAGTCGAAAACTGAAAGGGACCTGAACAGCTCCAACTACCTGGAAATTAAACAACACGTTTCCACATAACCAAAACATTTACAAGTGAATAAGAACAAAACACAGAATATGGCAACGTGGGCCACAGACGAAGCCAAGCTGGAGAGGAATTCCGAGCACTGATATTTACTCTAGAGAAGAGAAAAGCTCAACTAAGCCTCGTAAGAAGGCACCCCAGAAAAGTAGGAGCCAGGCATGGTGGGCACCTCTGTGCCCCCTGCCACCGGTGAGGCCAAGCTGGAGGGCACAGCTGTCGACCAGCATGGGTACCCCAGTGAGACCCTATCTCAACACAGAAAATAAAAAGGGGTATGCACGTGGATCAGTGGTAAAGTGCCCCTGGGCTCCATCCCTGGTAACAAGAAAAAGAAAAAGAAAAAAGAAGAAGAAAAGCAAAGCAAATTAAATCCAAAATAAAATAATAATAATAATAAAGAATCGAAACCACAAAACCAAAAACAGATCAATAAGGACAATTAATGAAGCCATAACATTAAGCCTCTAACCAGACAGATCAAAAAACAATAAGACCCAATATCAAGTATGAGAGAGATGATAGAATCACAGATGCCAAAGACACTGAAAGATTCTGAAGTATCACAGACAACTTTATGCTGATACATTTGATAATCTGGATGAAACAAAGCTCCTGAAAGACCCGAACCATCAAGGCTCACTCAAGAAGCCAGAACAGAAGTCACCTTCTATTTCAGAATCTTGATTTGTAGTTTAAAACTCGCATTTAAAGAGCAACCCACTCCCACACCATTCTACTGTTTAATCCTACAAAATATTTAAGGAGGAAATTACATTGTACGCCATTGTGCACAGACTCCTGCAGGGGACAGAGGAAGGGGCTACTTCCAGGTCTGTCTTTACAAGGCCACTCCACTGACCCCAGAGCACTGACAGAGGGGATACGGCAGTGTTTCAGGACAGCAGTGACACGGCGGACCAGGGGCACTTAATTCAGGACACAAAGTTGATGGAATTCGCAGTCCACACCCAAGGCTGGTGGAGTGGTCCACTGATGTCTGACCACGCTCCCAAAGAAAGGACACCTTTTAGCAACTGTGCCGACTGGTGCACATGCCCATGCAAAGATAACCCTCAAGTGTGTTTTGTGCCACGTGCAAAATCACTCCAACTCCATCACAGGCCCAAAGCAAAGCTTCAAACCCAGAACCTGAAGAAAGAAACATGGAATCTTTGTGACCTTGGATCACATAGGACAGGGAGCACATGATCCATGGGAAGAAACTGATAAAATTGGACTTCACCAAAATCCAAGCCTCTGTCCCTGAAAGGCACTGTCGCGGACGAGAAGACAGGCTCTGACTGGAGAACACATCTGCACAGCAGGCCTCTGACGAAGGGACCCGGCATGGGGCCAGGGTCCCAGAGCTCAGGAGGCTGAGACAGGAGGACTGCAAGCCTGGGCAACTGAAGAAGGCCTGGTCTCCAATAAAAAATAAAAAGTGCTGGGGAAGTAGCTCTAAGATTAAGCAGTTTTTTAAAAGTTCACAGGAGACAAAGACACTTCAGCAAAGAAAATAAGCAGATGGCAAATAAGCACATGAAAAAGTGCTCAGCACCCCAAAAGCACAGGTGCTGCGCTCAGTCCACACAGCTCAGCACCCCAAGAGCACAGGTGCTGCGCTCAGTCCACACAGCATCCAGGCAGGCAGGGCTAAGCCCCAGGGTCTGTGGCCAGCACACGGGCTTGTGTGTGGCAGACAAGTTGTGCCCCTTGATTAGGATGGCTGTGCCAGGGACTGTGCTCTGTACTTAGTTTCAAGTATACCTTCTGGCCTGCTCAAGAATGTTGGGAAGATTTCTTTCCAGGTGAGAGGAGGAGGTACAAGTTTGGTTTAAAAGTAGGCATGTGGGCGGGAGAGTATCCCCCATGCCAAGAGAGCTGGGGGCCTCAGCAGGCCAACACTCAGGAGCCTGGCTGCAGCCACCTGGGCCACGTGCAGCAGGACTGCCACCCCAGCAGCAATGTGCCCTGCAGGGAGTGCTCTCCTTAAGACCCCTCTCTCCCACTGAACCCCAGAGGGAGAGCAAGAACAGAGCCAGGCCCCCCCTGAGAGCCAGAGCACCTCCTTGTTTTGCGCCTTATCCACTGCGGTCCAGACAAACCCAAAGGCCCCACTTCCAATCGGGCTGAGGGTGCTGTACTTGTGGGAGTACTCCCCCTCACAGGCGGCCAGCTCTGCCAGCTCCACGGGTGTGGGGCTCTCCTCAAACCAGGGCTTGGCTCTGAGCATCTGCAAAGGCAAAGGAAGGTCTGAGGAAGACCTGCCACCACAAAGCCAGGTGGCCCCCCGCTAGGACCACCATCCCCAGCAGCACAGCCCTCCTCCCGTGCCCACAGGGAGCTTTTCTAGGCAGCCTGGACACCCTGATCCAAACTGGCACCCCGAACCCTGGACACAAAGCCTGTGCACTCAAAGGCCTGCATCTGCTCTGCACACGGGGTGTGAGAAGACAGAAGACCACGAGACCCCACTCCCACCGCCGGGAAACAAAGCCAAACAGCAAGGCCCACTGGAAGGCCAGCCAGCCAGTCCAGGCCAACAGGAGGCCCAGGCCAGCTGCAGACACCAACCTCCCCAAGGCTGGGCCCAGGGAGCTCGCTCATGGAGTGGCTGGAGCTGGGCAGGCTGGCGAGGAGCAGGCGGGTCCTGGTGGCCGAGTTGCGGTGGCTCTGCAAGAGGTTCTTCACCAGCCAGCAGCAGAAGAGGGTCGCAGAGCCCTGGAGCTCCACGCGTTTCACTTCAAACTGTATACCTGAAGCACAGAGGAAAGGAGGAGGGACCGCTGACGCTGCTCCCCGAACAGCACGCAGACCACACACAGCAGTCCACATTGAGGGCAAGCAGCCCCGGCCCGGAGACCACCACTGCAGCATGTGGGGCAGCTGGGAGCCAAGGGACGCCCTGCAGAGCACCAGAGACTACACAGCCACCTCAGAACAGCCAGGCAGAGGGGACAAGAATGTGACAGTCTCCATCAAAGCCACGATGCCAACACAGGCACTGGTCACGCAGTCACACAAGGTCCAAGCCACACACCCACTCTGGGCTTTGTACAAAGCACCGGTGTCGTGTGCATCACCAGGCACTTTTACAGGGCCCTCTCGGGACACCAATATGAACGTGGTATTTTAGATCAGCCGTGTTTCCACACATCAGTGATGGGAAGCAATATAAAAAAAAAACTACAGAACTCTAATAAGAGAAACTGAAGACCTGAAGAGGGAAAGATCTTCATGCTCTTGGATAGACAGAATTAATAGTCAAAATGACCATACTACCAAAAGCTCTATACAATTCCTATTAAAATCCCCATGTCATTCTTCACAGACATACAAAAAACAATCATAAAATTCATTTGTAAAAATAAGAGGGCCAGAATAGCCAAAGTAATTCTTACCAAGAAAAGTGAAGCAGGAGACATCACAACACCAGACTTTAAACTATACTACAGAGCTATAGTAACAAAAATGGCATGGTATTGGCACCAAAACAGACGTGAAGACCAATGATACAGAATAGAAAACACAGAGACAAGCCCAAATAAATACAGTTATCTCAAATTAGACAAAGGCACCGTACACATAATTGGAGAAAAGAAAGCCTCTTCAAAAATGGTGCTCAGAAAACTGGAAATGTAACAAAATGAAATTAGACCCCCATCTCTCACCATGCATAAAACTCAAATCAAAGTGGATCAAGGACATAGGCAGACTACAGGGTCTGTGCCTACTAGATGAAAAGGTAGGCTCAATCACCTATCATCAGCTTAGGAACCAAATTCCTCCAGACTCCTAAAGCACAAGTAAAATCAAGAATCAATAAATGGGATGGTATCAAACTAAAAAGCGTCTTCACAGCAAAGGAAACAATCAAGAACATGAAGAAAGAGCCTACAGAATGGGAGAAAAATCTTTACTACCTGCACCTCAGATAGAGCACTAATCTCCAGGATATGTAAAGAACTCAAAAAACTTAACACCAAAAAAAAAAAACAAATAGAGGCTGGGGTTGTGGCTAAGCAGTAGAGAACTCGCCTAGCACGGGCGAGGCCCTGAGTTTGATCCTTAGCACCACATAAAAATAAAGAAAGATACTGTATCAAACTACAACTAAAAAATGAAAAAAAAACAATCAGTAAATGAGCAAAGGAATTGAACAGGTACTTTACAGAAGAAGTAGTAAGACTGGTCAAAAAATATGTAAAAAAATGTTCAACATCACTAGCAGTTAGAGAAATGCAAATTAAAACTACACTGAGATTCCATCTAACTCCCGTCCGAATGGCAATTATCAAGAATACAAGCAATGATAAGTGTTGGCGAGGATGTGGGGAAAAGGTACACTCATACATTGCTGGTGGAACTGCAAATTGGTGCAACCACTCTGGAAAGCAGTATGGAGACTCCTCAGAAAACTTCGAATGAAACCACTATTGGACCCAGTTATCCCATTCCTCGGTTTATATGGAAAATACTTTAAAATACTACGGTGACACCGCCATATCAATGTCATAGCAGTTCAATTCATGATAGGTAAACTAGGCTAGGTATCCTTCAAAAGATGAATGGATAAAGAAAATGTGGTATATATATACACAACAGAATGTTCTCAGTCATAAAGAAGAATGAAATCACGGCATTTGCCAGTAAATGGATGGAACTGGAGACTATCATGCTAAGTGAAATAAGCCGACCCCAAAAACCAAAGGCCAAATATCGAGTGTTCTCATTGATATGCAGATGCTAACATACACTAAGGTGGAGGGGGGAGAAGAGAAGTTCACTGGATTAGACAAAGGAAAATGAAGGGAAGAAAGAGAAGGGAATGGGAAAGACAACAGAATGAATCAGACATCACTTTCCTATGCTCACGTGTAAACACATGACCAGGGGCACTCCACATCATGTACAGCACAAGAATGGGAACTCACGCTCCATGTAGGATATAGCATGTGTATGGTATGTCAAAAATGCACTCTATTATCATGTATAAAAAGAACAAATTAAAAAATTTTTTTAAAAATCCTGGTGTCTACTTTCAGGTGGTGGAATTCTGGTTAGAGCTGATTGTATTTCCTCCTTATTTCTTAACATTTCTACAAATAATGTGTGTTAGTCACATTTTTTTTTTTTTAATTTAGAAAATGGAGTAAGCAATCAACACCACAAAATCAGTAATGTCGAAACAACTAGCTAGAACAAGGGGGACCCAGAGATTAGGAAAAGTCAGAGCCTGGCTGTAGTGCCCATGAAGAAGGGGCTTCAGGGCCCCTACAGAGAAGCAAGGAAGCACAGGGCGGAGCAGATGTCTGCCGTGCACACAGCACTCTCTGCCTGGCAGCTCAGTGTGACCTGGGGACCAGTGGGAGCTGGAAGGACAGGCCCCAGCACGAGACCCCCACCCCTTCGGAGCCTGCTGGAAATCAAGACTAGGTGCCAGAGCACGGAGCACCACCAAGGGGACCCAGGCTCCCTCTCCTCAGGCAAATGTGCCATAACCCTAATGTCAGACGACAACACATTACCCTTTAGCAAACCTTCTCCAAGACGAGAGCTGCACAGACCCCAAGATGAAGACCACCTGTGCTCTGCTGTGATGCTCTGAGGCAGCAGTGCCTCCCTAGGTCAGGATGACACACAGCCCCAGTCCCACTCAGGCCAGAAACACACTCAGCCCCAGACCCACCCAGGACACACTTAGGCCCCCCAGCCCACAGATACCAGGGACACACTAAGCCAAGGCCCCACCCAGGACTAGCTCAGCGGCAGGCCTTCCCAAAGGCACACTCAGCCCAAGCCCCACCAAGGACACACTCAACCACAGCCCCATCCAGGACACACTCAGCAGCAGGCCCTCCCAAGGCACACTCAGCTATGGCCCTACCCAGACACACTCAGCTGCAGGCCCTCCCAGGCAC